TTAAAACTATTAGAGTAATCTGTACTTTATTGAAGTTTTTAATCATATTATATCTTCCGAGTGACATAAAATGTCATGGGACATTATAGAGTGTAAATAGTTCGGTTACCATTTTCATTGTTTGTCGAAAAAGTTCTTGCGTTAACCAAAGATTTCTCGTTATTGATTTTTAACCAAGTTAAGCTTGAAGCCAATTGTTCTTTTTATAGAATATCATATTATTTTGTTGGGAGTCAGTTAAGAATAAGATTTTTATTGTGGGTTACGATAAAATTTTTTTTTTAAATAGACTCATTTAACATTTAATATTAGCATTTTTTAAGATTTTGTATAGCCCACCCTCATATCTAAGGAAACTGAAAACTATTTACCATGCAGCTTTAAGATTTGCTTTTGGAGCACACCGTACAACTCCAACAAATTACCTTCTACTTGAAGCCGATATAACGCCTATCGAGACTAGACCTGAGATGACCACTGCGTGGATTTGAAAGGTTTTCTCATTCGCCAAGTACACGGCACTTCAAATCGTCCTACAAAAGATAAATAATGTCAAAAGATAACCCCGAATCCTTTCAATTCTAAATTATGTTTCAATACTCATTTACTAGAGTGTAAAATTCAACACTCCAGTTAAATCAAGGAAACAAAACATCCACCTTGGTCCTCTTCAGAAGATTAAGTACACTTAACATTACATTACTCAACTAAATCTAACACTCCTTCAACTGTATTTCAAATGAAATTCCACTCCCTTAAGAGCACTACAATACCTATTCATTTATATACACAGATAGCTTCAAGTCCGGACACGGAGTATCTTTTAGTAGCACTACTGGCACACGTATAATAAAAGCAGCACTCTTACCAACACATAGCTCTATAATATAGAGTCTATATTCACGGCAGAAGTGGCAGCTATTTAAGCAGCTTGCGAAAACGATGCATTACAAAAGAAGAGATACGTAGTTTGCTCGGGCTCACTGTCATAACTGCAATCAATAGCCAACATAAGCAACCAATCCATCTATACCACACGATTCCAAAGTATTCTAAACAGCCACCAGTCGAACATAAAACAAGAGAAAACGTATTGTCGATGGCCTCGACTATTAGATACCCGTTACTCAGCTAAAGGGAGTACCAGAGGGATTGAAATATCCTTGCAGCAAATCTGCTTTTCTCACTAACACATCTAGCCTAAAGCGCAACCTAGCCTATAGCGTCATCTAGCCTGTAGCGCCACCGAGCTTATAGCGCCAACTAGCCTATAGCGCCCATAGCGGCTTGGTGGCGAAATAGTGAAAAGAGCTGATTTGGTGCATGTGGTTTGCAATCTCCATTGAATTTGCAAAATAGTGATTATTATTTGGATATACCTTTTAAATGAATAGTCCGATTTGGATTTTTGGTATGTTGGTGGGGGTATTGACAATAAGAGCAAAATCTAATTTCAATTTTTACAAATTGTTATAAATTGTGACGGGTTTTAGTGTTATGGTCGTTTGTGGGCGTTAGAGTGGGCGTGGTACCCTGCTGAAACAAACTTGCGCTGAGTAAGAAGCCCATGAATCTGCATGCTTAATCCAAACATTCTAGCTCTTATAGTTTTCAAGATCTCAGCGCCCATACGGACAGTCGGACAGACGGACGGACAGACGGACATGGCTAGATCGACTAGTGTGTCAGGATCACATCACATCAAGAATATATATACTTCATGAGATCAGAATTGCTTTCTTCTACCTGTTACATACTTTCCGACGAATGTAGTATACCGTATAATCTACCAGTAATGGGTATAAAAACAATTTGCATCTTTATGGAAAAATGCATGAGACTACTATAACTTTACCAACCCCAGCAAAAACTACAACATTAAAACAATAACTTTAACAGCCAGGACTTGGTAAAGTTCTCACGGTTACGTTTCCACTCCAAGCTCACACGTGAACATATAACAAGCAAACAAACAAAACCGCAATGTGAGCGCTGCAACACCAAAGCCACCATCAGACACATTCTCCTAGAATGTCTTCTTTTTCTGTCAGAAAGAAACAAATTTCTACCCTCAAACCCAACTGAACTCCTAGAGTAACACCTGGAGTATCCTAGCTTCCCTGAAATTCTTAAAGGCAATCAAATTATATCATTTCATCTAAAACCTAGACGTAGTCAAAATGTAAATATATGTATAATAAACGTTGTTTAAAGCCACAGTAGCTATAGCTGCAAAAAAAGAAAACAAAGGTTAAAGGTAAATTACAATTGCCATTTAACCTGAGAATAAATAAGATATTTGATTACCTAAATTAAATGAAAATGTACCTTAAGCAATAAGGAATGTTTTGGAGTCCATTCTCTTACATTTTGGGTCAATCTATACCAAGACTTTGGGAAACCCTGACATTGCGAAGGTAAATTATATTTTGTTTTAATTATAGCACACGTTTTTATTATTTATGTTATATTAATATGTATTTAAGATGGGTGATAAATCTCACTTAAATTGAATATTTATCAACAAGGTATCAAAATATCCTAGATGTATAGAGTAGAATCAAGATTTCAAGTATTTGTTTATCAGCATTTTACATAACAAGTATTTAATATTCAATGTGTTCTACAAGTATATGACATAATTCCGCAACTGCCAAAAGCCTAGCTCGACATCAAAAATAAACGACCTTAAAGTTTGGCAAATGGTATCCGTTTGCAACATAAATATTTTGCATGCCCTTTGTATTTATAACCTCAAATTGACAGCCAGTATTATTAAATCCTTCAATAAAACCGTAATTAGAACACAGTTTATGTACAACTTCCTATTAAAATATTTCCTCAAGTGAGAATTTGTTGTTGCTGACTTCCAGAAACAATAGGGGAAATAAATCCTCCAATGCCAACAATGGAATAAATATAAATAGACATCTTAGCAAACGTCCGTCTCAGTTAGTTTTGGTCTTTGTTTTTAAAGGAGGTGAATGATAGCGTGAAAATTATAAAATCGATGCTCATATCATTGGAATTAATTAACAGCGCTTGGAGTGTGCAGCCGGATTTCATTAAAAATTGTTCGAATAGCGGAAATATTTTGGTGGGCCAAAATTAGCCAAGCCCTCGGAAATTATAAGGGCAGAGCAGGGGACTTCGAGTTGAAGTACTTGGCTGCTTTGGCATTTAATGAGCTGCCAATTTGGCAATCGGTGTTTTGATGTCAGTGCAGTTGGCTGGGCCCACGAATCTTAATGTCTTACTTGCGCTTCCGCACTTTGTTGTATTTTTGGTTTTTTTTTTGTTTTGTTTTTCGTTTGGGCCATAAGGAATTTTTATGCTGAAAGAAAGTGAAAGCTTTGCCATTTGCGTGTTAATTGCGTCTGGAATTTACATAAATATTAATTTCTAATGAGGTCGTGTTCGTCTTGGAGACATCAAAGTCCCCCCAATGCCAATACACTGCCTGTTAAATATGTTTATGCAAATAGGTTCCTTTCCATTTCGACTGTTTGCCAGCTACAATTAGACGTAATTCCTGCTGGGCCAAAAATGCCTTGATTTATGCAAAGAAAACACGTTATTATTGAACCTGCTGGTCTGAGTGAGTGATTTCCCAGCATGTGTGTTCCAAATATAAACTGCTAAAATATGCATGCAGATTGCCTTGTATTAACATCATTGATTCAATAGCCAGGCATTGGAAATCAAAGACGTATAGGTATGTATGCCAAATTAGACTAAGCCCCCAGGTCAATTTGACTTGGCTTGTATATGCGTCATGTGTGTGTTTCGAAGAAATTCATTTCAAAAAATACATGAGTGATCTTTGTTAAACAGAAATTTGGTAAATTCGAATTTAATTATAAATTTTGAACGAATGTAATGTATCGAAATCATTGGAATACTCTTTATAGTTAGTATTTCCTGGGTAATTTATCTTCGATTTTCCAGTTAACATTGCTATTTTACATATTTGTAAATTTGTATATGTGTGCTTGATGATTTAATTAGCTACATTTCTCGATTTCTCGTAAACAAAGGAACAAATTTTTCATATTGGTATATAAATGGCTATAATTGTTAGGCCTATATAGGACACTAAAGCATTACAAACCTTTGAAGGGATCAGTATAAAGAAATTGATTTAATTTTTGTTAAACAAGTGCTCACATTTTTATAGATTGCATTTTTGTCCATAAACTTGTTGCTTCTTAAACTTAAATGTTTGGATTGTATAGTCCTTATAAAAATTTTATCCATTTCCAGAAGAAATTAGCGGCAGTAGCACTGGGTAAAAGTTGGTTAATTGCCCAAAGTCGAATAAAAAATGTCTAAAACCGACATATTGGTAACAAATTGACAATTGACCGCAAAACTGCTATTAAGTAATCCCATTATATTCTTGTCGTAGATGCATGGCTTGGGTGCGTAAATAAAATGAATAAATCCAAAATTAACAATTTTATTTTCATACCAATCACAAACAAATTGTTTCGATTTTCGCTACTCGCTCTTGATTTCTGGCATTTTTGGTTAAAAGTTGTTCTCAAGGGAAACCGCGATTTCTTCATCAGTCACAAACCTGAAATCGGATAGTATTTTTTGAAATTGATTGCATTTATTGAATTTTAACGTTTTATACAAATTTTATGATAGCAAAAATTTCCATTTAATATTATCTATCGTTCAGTACTCAAATATAAGTCAAGAGATATATACAATACTTCGCCCATCCTCCCCTAAATGTATGTCAAAACACACAAAACGCTTGTCAGAGACAAGAAACAGGACTTCATTGTACAGCACAGATAGTCAGATTAAATATTTATTTCAACCCAAAGAGCTCCGTTTATACAAAGAGTTGAGTTTAAAGTAAAAAATTTATATTATTCAAGTTAAGGTTTTGTTGCATTTCTGGGATCATTTAAAAAATAATGTTGATATTCGATGTGTATAACCTCTGTTAAACTTTTCTTTTTTGTCAGCCTGTGGACCCATAGTTTAAAGGATATACATTTAACACAATTTCAATTTATTTTCCATTTTATGTGCTGGCGACAAAAACTCCTCTAATAACAATTTTTGCATATTGACTAATTGAATTTTCAGCCGCATCCGTCTGACCGGCAATTAATAAATATTCTGATTTCATTATATGGTATTTTTAGTAAATTATCAGTGAATTATTTGTGTGCCATTCACATGTGTGTGTGTGGAAAATTTAAAAAGTGTACTGACCGCAGCCGATTTTAGTAAATACTTTGAGTGCAAGCTTGAACAAAATCAGAATGAATATTAATGCAGCGGTTGGGTGACCGAAGAGCTTCAATTGACATTAAATAGGCGAACCATTAGACTACAGTAAATAAATAAATAAATACGAGTTTAACAAATAAATTATGCGTAGCCTAGTTGTTTTATCCTATTTACAGTTCGGTTTTTAACAAGGAAAAGTTGACTTCAAAGTTGCTCGTTCTCGCTTAACGTCTCCCGCTCTCGAAGATTAGGGACCTCCGGCTCACTTGGCCGGCATGTTGCACTGTGGATACAGGCTCTGGCAGTCCTTTTGATCCTGGCCATCCCGGGCAGCCTGAATTAGCCGGTAAAAACGACGCACTGCCTCATTCGCATGCGTTACGGGCTCCAGTTCGCTGGTGTCGCTGCAACAGACACAAAATGGGAAACTTTAGCAAAAGAACGTTTCGCGTATTTCATTAAATGGTATTTTTTGTGTGTGGTGCCATGGCAGATGCTCCCTTTCATGGCTTTTTTACACTCAAAAACAAAGTTTTCGTAATTGGTCTAGTACATTTATTATTAGCATGAATCCTAAAAAATATATATTTGAATTTATTCAATTGTTTTAATATTCAATATTGGAATAAATAAATGATAGAAAACCTCACCTATTTTTCCGAATCTTCTACAAAGCCTTAATCAATCAAAAAAATGTCATTTAAAATTGAGCACAAAAAAAGTTTTGCCTGTCATATCTGAACAGTAATCCTCATTGTGTACGGTTGATTGATGTGCTTTTTAAAAAGATTTTTTGAAAGTCAAGACAATGTTTCTTTAGAGTGTTCTTAGTTAGTTAGTCCTAGCCGCAGGCCAAGGCCTAAGAACGCTTTTTGTTGGGCAGGAAGTCGGCTAATTAACTTTGCCACATCGACCCATCGCCGTAAAGTTTTCATGGGAGCAGGTCGAATCGCTTGTGCGCACTTTTGGGCTTACCAACACGCGCCTTTTGTGCTCCAGACATTCATGCGTCACCCAAAAACGCCTACATCCCAATTCCCATCCTGCTGCTCAGCTATTCGACCTTAAATTGAAGGCGTCTGGGGCAATTGATTCTGTGGGCGGGGTGTTGCTAATGGATTTCATGTGACTAGTCAGTCGTGCACGGAGGTGGTGGCCGGAAAATCGCACCCACATAAGTCAAGGCCAAACTGATTTCCTATGCTCTTTGTCCGCCAAGGAAGAATGGGGGGACGTGACCTGATGCAAGGATATGTTGCCTGAATTTTAATGTACAACAGTACTTTTTTATCCTCCGCCCTTTCCCCACAAAATAAAATAGTTAATACTAACTAACTACAGTCAAACTTCTGTAAATTATTCTGACCCAAGTCAATTGAATTACATTGGGTAGCAATAAATTAAAACTACGTTCCTGGGATAAATTATATTTGCAATCAGTAAAGAGATTTCGTTTCTGATTTTATTTGATGTATTTCCATATTTATCAGATTATATTTCCACCGCATCTCTTCTTTGCTCTTCAATTATCTCAGAAAACAATTTTAATTATTGACGTCAAACATTTCAATACTGTTTCAAGAAACAAGACCAATTAAAATTGAACAACCAACGCCCTGGGCTGACACATCAGAATTGTATTTAAAGTTGAAATGGAAATACCCGAAATACTTCAGCACGCTTTTCCATTAATTATGATTGCTTTCATTATAGATGCGCATGACTGCAGACAGTGGACGCTTTAAACAAACGTAGCCTTTCATTAGGCCAATTTATTTTAATTAATTTCCAACTTCGATGGCCGAAAACCTGAGCTCCCAGCCATCGTCAATGGCGTCCCGATAAGGCAATTAAGCACACCTTGGCCACTCAATTAATGACTTGTCATGGGCACGCGGACCCATAAATCATACGACATAGGGACTAGGTCTAGATGACTTCTCCTGGGAGACGAGCCTGTCACTCACAAAGTTGTCAAGGCAGCTATCTGGGGTCTGGCAATTTTGCACTCATTGTTGTCAGCGTGAAAAAGCCCATAGGCAGGGCCCAAAAGATAATGAGCCATGAGAAATATGATGAATGCGAAATGCGAGTTTATCTGGTCTGTAGCATGCTCGAGTGCCCCTGGAGTGACCGATGTGGGTGGAACCATTTTCGCTGAGGATGATGATGATGATGGCACGCGGCTCACGGCTGGGAGTTCCACTTGGCTGGCCATGTGCAGTGTGCAGTGTGCAGTTCAATTAGGAGATGCGACGCGACAGCCACGAACTTGCGACGACGAACTGCACTCCGACAGCCCCAAGTTCCACTTTCTTTTCACGCTCTTGCCTATTAATTGAAAGGCAATGATGGGGTACCAAGCTGGAGGTGGGCCTTTAAAGCCTTTCCCGCAGCGAAAACGCGTCGAACTAAGCTGGCTGCAAAACGAATTTAAGTTTTGACTGCCTGACATCACAATTTGCATTGCCCGGGGAGCAATTAGAGCACAGAATGACACATTTTATGGCAAATGACAAGCCTTAGTTCATGGCACACAACCATAAAGCCAGCTCGCCTCTTGCAGTTATGGCCAAAATTGTAAGTCGTTAGATTTTGAAAACTTAAGGCAACTAACTTGGACTATAATGAATATGCACAAAGTAAAATATTGGAGAAAAACTTTCTGTTTGACAAAAGTTAATTACTTTTTGTAACGCACTTCCAAGAAATTGTTCAATGCTAATAACCTATTTAAAAAATAGTACTTTAAAGTTTATCAAGTATGTTAAATTATTATCGTGAACAATATACAATAAAGAATGTTTTCGAAAACTAGTAGTAATACATTTATTGATATTGCTTTACTAAGAGTGGAATTTAATATACCAATTAATATAAATCTGACTGACTAAAATATAGTCTTTAGCTATTAAAGGAAAATCAAAACAAAATGTTAAAAATATAAAAATCAAATATGTTACCAAATAGCTACCTTTATGTATTGTATTTTTTTTAAATATTTCTTATTGAGACCTTAGTCCCCATACTCATTGGTAGTTCCACACTCACCGACTTAGCTCCGCGGAGATGAAGTTGCTGTGCGGACTGTAGGTGGCCGGATCCTTGTACATGCTGCACACGATGCGCTCCTTGCACAGGTCGTTCTTCACGCCCAGCTGTTCGACTATTTTGTCGATTTTCAGCAGAATAGGACTGTAGAACGGATCGTAGTTGAGCGGATACAGCGGCTGAAAACGCACAAAAAGCGCACAGGTTATTCGTCACGATCGCAGGTTGGTGCGGCGGATGTCAGCAATTGCAAACCTGTCCGTCCTGTACGAATGGCTGGTGCTCCAGTATCTTCTGCTGCTGCTGGATGAGGCGCTGCTCGGCCTGAATGCGGATGGCCTCCTTCAGCTGGGCGGCTAGTTCGGGCTGGGGATGGAAAAAGAGGATATGCAGAGAATTCTGTCAGTCATGCACTCGGAAAATAGATCTATTTCACGATGTTCAAAACTGATATATCATTAAGAAAGTAGCAAAGTATATGAAATCGTTTGAATCTAGCTTACCCAATATAAAAGATTTATAAATAGAACACCTTGAACTGGTTAGCTTCTCTTAAATAGTATTCCTTAAATATCTACTGTTCTCCTATAAAGATTTTGCAAAGTTTTTTTTAAGAATTTGGTTTTCTATGTATGTATTTTTACTATGTCCCAGTAATGTGAGCGATAAGTTCTCGTAGATTTTTGATATCACCTTGTGATACCCTTGCATAGTTTATTATAACTTTAGTTAGAAGTTGGCAACGCGGTGGAGGAGACTTTTCCGATCCTACAACTTTACATATTTTTGATCAGTATTCCTGGCAAATTCGATCTTGCCATACCAGTCTGTTCATAAGTCCGTCTGTCTATCTGTGTCGTTTCTACGCAAGCTAGTCTTTTAGTTTTAAAGCTTTCTGCATGAAATTTCTCAAAAGTCTTCTTTCTAATGCAGGTAATATAGAAGTTCAAACGACAATTATTCTTCCTCGTATTGGAATGATTGAAAAATTATGTGTAAGTTTTATTGCTTTTTTATGATTTAAAAAATTTCTGTTGAACTAAAAAAAATTTGGGCACTCAAGTTTTATAGCTTTCTTTAGAGAATGCTTCAAATATACATGTTATGCAGCTTCTATAATATGGTTTTAATTGCATAACATGGTTTAGTTAAGGTAAGGTATATAAAATTCTGCTATCCTAAATAAGCGTCCATTCTTGTTTTTAGTATTAGGAGCTGCTTTAAGACAGACAAAAGGGAATATTTTTACTAGCTACTAAGGCTTTTTTATAACTTTTAAAATTTCTGGTGAATTAAAAAAAAATTTGAGCACTCAAATTATATAGCTTTCTTTACATGCTTCAAATATACAGGTTATGCAGATTCTGTAATATGATTTTAGTTGCATGACATGGTTTAGCTGTAAGGTATATACAATTCGGCTGGCGTAAATAAGCCCTCATTATTGTTTTTAATATTCGGAGCTTCTTTAAAATAGACAAAAAAGAATATTATTACTAGCTACAAAGGCTGATGCAAATATATTTACTTCTGCAATACTGTTTAGGACCAACTGACTTGACATACTGCACATATTCAGAAATGCTTTAAGCAAAGTCTATTAAAAGCCTGCAACTTTTGTTATTTCTTCCCTGAAAGTAAATTTAAAACTCGCAACTGTTGATGGCACATAAATTAGGTATGTGTCCAAGTCAAAAGCGTCGTACAAACATTTTGTAGGATGCAACAGCAAATACCACTTTGTGTGAAAAGGGTTGAGTTGCGTGAGCTGCTAACCTTCTGCCGGGGACAGCTCATCCAAACCCGACTAAACTCGCTGGCACACTTTCTCGACGCCAGGAGTTCCCATCATATTCGGCTATGGCTTTGGCAAGGCGTGCTCATTTAATTAATGTGAACAGCGGGGTGTTTTGCAAGCCTACGGATTTTGCTGTCGGTCGGGAAGTGCAATGGCAAAGTGCATTTTAATTATGGCTTAGTTGACAAGCCAAGAGCCCGAAGGCCCGGCCCACATGTGGCCGGGGACGCAGCTCACTTGAAAGTGAAAACTGTCATCGAGTGTCAGTCGGTCAGTCAGTCAGTCGGTTGGTTGGTTGGTCCGCACAAACTGTTTGCCAAGCCATTCACCTTGCAGGGCCTGCAGTTTGAGCCACTTGAATGGTGTCGCTGGGCAAAAAGAGAAAAGAATTCACCTGCCATGCGGACAAGACAATTTGCATCATAGGAAAACAATTTGCACTTTTGTGGAAAGTGTCAATAGAGACAGCCGTGTGCCAGACGAATGTTTGCCAGTGAAACTGCAGCAGCCTGATTGATAGTGTTGTTGCCCAGCTGTGCCAGTGTGCAAACTGCAAATAGGAGCCTCTAATGATGGAAGTAGTCAGGAGGAGGTGCAGACGCACTACTCGGAAAACGTGCTGGCTGGGAAGGCCACAGTAACCATGCGGCAATGAATACCTAATTCTTTCTTGATAGTTTCCCGAGGAAAGTTTGAAGAATTATAAGTTCTTTCTTTCAGATTCTTTTTTGATTTAATTTTTAAAGTAAGTTTTCTGGTTTTTTATGTTTTTACTATAATTTGTTATTGTTATTGGGAAGGGGTGCATTTGAATGGCTTCTTAAAAATTCAAGAAAGTTTCGTTTCATTTTATTCAGACTTGGATTTTGTATACCTAAATGGATTTTCATATATAAAAATTTTTAAAGGGCTTGTTAAAGAATATTTCTAAATGAACACAGAATATATTCTGACGTTCTCATTTGAGTTAGAAAAGTTAAAAAAAATAGAACTACATTTTTGAAGGTAAAAACGTTCTCAATTTGCTCGAATTGTTTACTTATCAAAAAGGTTGTTAAATAAACTTAGTTTAACTCTACTCTTCTCACCATTTCGTTCTTATATTGAGAACATTGATACCAAAATGTGCTTAGAAGGATTTTAAGAACGAATGTTCTCAATTCAAGAACAATGTACTTGAATATTTATCTCTGTGAAAAATGTACAATTTTTTTTTGAGCTGACAAAAAGAGAACTAGAGATCAACTAAATAATCACTAGAATTACGAAGAAAATGTGTTTCTGAACCCAACTATTTTAATAATGTTATAATAACCAGTCGCCTGTCTGTTCTAGTATTTTATATTTATACCAATAGTTTGAAAGTAGTTCTGAACTTAATATTTCCATTTTGCTTGATCATAACCCATTTTTGCATGTGTGCTTTCACTTGAAACCTTTGCAGATTTTGATTTACGCGGAAAACGGCGCAACTCTCGCTTCTCATAACCACACGTGGGCTATCTGATTTCACAGACTGCTTTTTTATGTACATCGCTGCGATTACAATAATGCACATTTGCGTATTCCGTTTGCCTGCTGGAAATTTATACGAACATACGTAATGGGCTGTAATGTGATACGCACCGAAAGTTGTGGCTCCTGCGCAGCCTGGTTTTGCTGCTGCTGATTATTGCGCGCGGGATCATACTGCGCGGCAATTTGAGCTGCTGCCGTGAGTCCGGGCCCACTTTGCGGCGGATGGTGTCCCTGTCCCGGAACGAACACCGGATGGTGCTGCGTGTGTGCCGGCCTTGAGCTGGAAAAATCGGGGAAAATTAGGCGCCGATGGCAGGTGGGAGTGGGTTGTGTGGGTTCAAATTGGGTTGGCACAATAGTTCCATTGGAGCGGCGAATCAAATTTCCTTTTCGCTGCTCTTTTTAATTGGCAGCAATTACCACCCAACAGTGAGTGTTGTTTGGCTTTCATTAAAGAATTTTAATTACATTTGGTTAAGCAGGAAGGACATAAGGGATGCGACAGATAGCGGTTCGAATGGATCGTTAATTATAAGCACAATCTACCAGAGTATGGAGTAATAAACATATGTTAGAGTTCTGCACCGAAAAAAAGTTTGCATAGTGACACTTAAGCTTACAAAAGCAAAATATTATAAACAGGATATTGACAAATCTTCCTATCTGTGTCTTTAATCCCTTGAAAGATAAAAAGTTCTCTTGGAATTAGTAAGAAAAATGTATGATTACTGGTACTAAACCCACTTCTTGAGTTAAAAGAATGCTTCTGGGTTTATGGTTCAATACTACTAAGAGGGAAGAAATGTACTAGCAAATAATAAGCCTGGTTATCCTTTTTTCAGTGCAGACATTAGATGCGTAGGAAGTAAGCTTTTAATATAAAGTCACCGAGAAATAGGAGGAGTATCTGGGGGACTAGTACGAGTTAGTAGCTTATATATAGACCAAATTTATGGGTGTGCGGGTGTGTTCCTCTGCGGCAGTGCAAGTGAGATTCATGTGCGTAGGTGTACTTGTTTGTTGGTTTTCGGGCGCCCTTGAGTGGCATGTACCTTTGTTTGTCCTGACTTTGAAATGGGTTTAAACTGTGACTAGAGGCTTGTATTTTCTGAGCACTTAATTGCTGTTGCAGCTGAAGCTTGAGCTGTTGCTGCTGCTGTTGCGACTGCTGTTTCGGCTGGGTGGGCGGCCTCGCCTGCTGGGTGACAGGCCAACGCTGATGTTGCTGCTGGTGTGTCGCATGTTGCTGGTGTGCCTGTGCCTGTACCTGATGTTGCTGTTGTGCCTGTGTGGTGCCCAGGCCCCAAGCATGCAGGAGCCCGGCGTCATTAGCCGGGTGGGGCTTAAAGTAATGCGCATTCTCCTCTATCTGTGCAACGCGATTTATATCGCCTATGTATCTATTGTATGTGATGCAAGTCGGTTGTTGTGTGTGAGTGTGGCGTGTGAGTGTGGTTTAGAGACAAGACAGAGACACAGACAGTTACAGATGCGGATACGGAAGGCGTGGGGTGGTGTCTAGAAAACCGGAACTTACTCGGAACCCAAGCCCGGTCCACTGTTCTGCCAGGCCCCCTCGAAGTGCTCGAATCCGGGGCCGTAGCTCTCGTGCACCGGGGCTCCATGGAGATAGGCTGACGGATGACCCTTGGGCGGGTGGGTGTAGATGATTTCCGGACCCGGACCAGCGTGGTGCTCTCCGCTGTGCCATGGGGGAACCACCTAAGGATCAAAGAGAGTACCATTGAGAAATAAGTATAGCTTACATTTTTTAAAAAGGAGGTGATTAATTATATTTTAATACCCTTGCAGAGGGTATAATGCTTTCAGTCAAAAGTTTAAAACGCAGTGAAGGGACAACTATGTCCTATAGCTCCCATACGAATGATCAAAGAATTATTTTAAAATATGTAAAAAAGTAACAGCTTCGGTGTTTTTTTAACATATTAACTTCTACTCTTGGGGATATCATTCATTTAATATTTCAGAATTTCGAATAAAATTCAAATCAAATCGGCGACCTCATCATATAGCTGCCATAGGAACGATCGGATAATTAATGTCAAAATAATACATCGACTGTTAAATTTAAATGGAATATTATCTTTAAATTTTTATAAATAGTTTTTAGTTTTCTACAAATCAGAAAGTTCTTTACATACAATGCTGCCACTGGAACGACCTGCAAGGGCATAGAAACTTCGCCGTGCCAAAGTTAGCTTGCTTCCTTGTTACCAAAGTAAATACGTTTTCTAAAATTGTAGCATAAATTATTATTTGTGTTTATTTGCTTACCCAAAATGTGTTAAAATATTCTATTGGAAAAAACAAACACATGCAACACTTAATTTATACTTGATATTTATAGATACTATTTTAAATACTTGAGAAGTTATAAAAAATAAATATAATTGTCTTTAAATTACTAAAGGCAACACCAAGTGAGAATAGCCGGCTGCGACCGAGCTCTTTAATCTTAAATGATGCAGATTGCACTTCACTTTATTAAAAGGGCTGCCATGGCAGTCATTTAGCGCAAATTAAAAAAGATGGTAATGAAGAAGTCCGGTGCCTGGCGTTGGCTTGACATTTAATAAACTCATCAGCAAACTTTGTTCACTGTTCTGTAGGGCTTCCTTTTCGAGTGCTCTCATCGCGAAATCTCGTAGGCTATTTATAGTCAATGTTTGAACATACCAAATAATACGCATTATTGCCCAACTTTGTCTGGTGACTGGGCCGGCTTAAGCTCAGTTCAATGACTGTCAAAATGCCGTAAATAACAAGCAAAATGCGGAGATATGTGACTGTGTCATTGCCTGGCAGTTCGACTAGAGTTCAAGCCCTGCCTATTATTTGTGCTTTTTATTGTGCACAAAATTCTAACCATATTTCATGCTGTGCGGCCCGAAAACTTTTCCTGGCAAAGAGGTGACATACGCTCACGAACAGACGACATGTTAAGTGGGTGTTTCTTGGTCCTCGTGGCTGGAAAGTCTTTCACTCTGTCAGTTAATTTAATTTACACCGAGTGCGAAAGCAGCCAGGGATGGCGAGGATGCTTTAGTTGACTGCAAGTTGTCTAGAAAATATGCACATATCATTGGCCACCCGGGTGTAAAGTCGCACATGGAATTCACACTAACTACTCCCCTATCGATAGTCCATTTTTTATTGCCGCCAATGCTTTCCTCTTCCAGCTCTTGAAGTATTCATATATTCCGCGGAAGAAAAAAGCTAAGCTGCAAGTATTCCCCACTGATTCCTGCTTTCTCCAGTTGTCAGCGCTGGCCTAAACCTCAATAAACGACATGTTTAAAGGATTGTAATTGCTAAAGCGGTCGTTTTATAAAACCAATTCTAGGGGAAATCCTACTTGAGCAAAGATTGTCGTATGCAAACATTGGGACCCGGATTATCCCAATGGCTCAGACCCTGGATCCAGTTCAATAGCATTCTTTGGGAGCATAAACATCTCATAAATACAAGTATCTACACGTGTGCACTCTTTCGTGGGAAAATGGGGTGATAACCGCCAGATCCTGGTCTAATCCCCATCAACGGGCCCAATTGAAAGACGGGATTTCATTTGACGATATGTCAAGCTGGGTGCTGTCTGTGTCAGCGTGAGCTCATTTCGAGGGCACGTGCTATGCCAACTTGAAGTCGGGATTCCTCAATGGAAATTCTTTTCAACTGCCGGCGGAGAACGCCTCTAGACTTTTCTAATTGAATTTCCGGGAGCGCGGGCTAGAACATGAACAAAAGAGACTTCCGACCGGCAGACTCATAGACAAACTGAATCACATCCAGATTGTTAATGAAATTTCTCCAAAAATACGCCAGAAACATGATAAGTATAATCGGCCTAACCCAAACCAGTTAGTTGCGTTTGCTGGCATCGAAGAAATTTCTTTCAGCCGAATGTCATATCTCAGTGTCATCGAAATCTTTGCTCGCTTTTGAAAACTAGTATACTCCTATTATACTGTTAAATAAACAATATCTTTTAGCTCATCTATTGAATTTGATTAAATTCCCTTATATTAATTAAACATACATAAATAAATATATTTTTTTTAAAACTCTGATAATAATTTTGTAATACATTTTAAATTCAAAGTAAATAGATCTTTTCTAAATACTTATTTTAGAATGTAAACTCTTATATGTGTCTGAGAGCAATATTGTACTGTTAAAATCAGATAGCAACTGTCATAGTAAATAAGTTTTAATTTAGGTCGCACACCATTTACTGATGCGATTTCGGTGACCCAAAATTAAGAAAAGCTTTATGAGTACTTGAAAACCGAACTCCACTTAGTATTATGCCTTTTATATTACCCAAGCAAATGTACCTACGATAAAATCGCCAATTCTACTGATTGTATTGATCAACTTTCTAGAAATCTCTGCGGATAAGATGCAATTTGTGCAATATCACCTCCCATCTGCGCTTACCGTGTGATGATGATCGATGAGGTGATGGTGGTGGTGGTATTTGGCTGGTGCGTGATAGGATTGCTGGTAGTGCGAGCAGAGCTTGAAGAGGTGCGACAGCGCCGGGAACAGGAAGAGCAGGAACTTCAGCAGCAGTTTCTTGGCCGCCCCGACTCCGATGACGATTGGCAGCAGCCAGAACAACTTGATCTTGATGATCTTTATGATCAGCAGCAATGCGAGGAATGACAGCACCAGTTTGCTGCGTAGAAATTTTTCTGGACAAACGAAAGTAGCAATCGAATCAGACTTTTGGATGCAGTTGCTGCCGCAGATTGGTCAGAGAGTGAAAGCGGTTGCTACATCTGCATCTGCGCGATGGGGAAACAAATTGCGAGTATTACTTACGTATCTTCTTCTGGATTATCGCCCCAGCCAGTCGGGCCTTGACTACCTGTTTGGGAATGAGCTCCAGCTTGGCGATGATTCCGTTTCCTTCGATGGCCCGCGGCGAGATGCGAAAAGTGGCTCCGTTGAACATAACCTCGGGCAGATCCACCTCCAGATCGTGGGTCATCGCGAACTTAATACTCTTGCCATATAGAGCGCTGGTCACTTCCTCGATTGGGGTTTCCGCACTTGCTGCTTGGGAAATGCAGAATTGGACAATTAGACAGAGAAACACTCGTGAGTGACGCTTTTGGGTTAATGAAAGTTGTGCGGAAAGCGAGTTCAAGCACTCAGGATAGGATGATGGATGCTCTTGCGCAACTGCGAGTAAATATACGCATCCTACATTTTCTATTTATAAGCGAGAGTGGGAGTGGTGCGCCTCCGCATGGGAACCATTTGTGCGTTGGCGTAAATGGCTGAAGGCAAAAAAAATATAAAAGGTTTTTAAATGTTATTAGGCAATGCCATAACCTTATTTTGTATACATTTTTTTAGGTTCTTTTTTGTTGTGAATTTATAAATCTTGTAATTTATTTATTACTTTTTCCAATAGATAAAATGCAGTAAATTAATCAGCAATTTACATTCTCTTTCAATAGCTTTTTAATTTATAATATCCAATATTTTTAATTTGAGTACCCATATATCATACGATTTAAAGTATTGTTTACTATATAATACTCGTATATATTACTATTATTATATTACTATATTACTATATTACTATATTACTATATTACTATATTATATTACTATATTACTATATTACTATATTACTATATTACTATATTACTATATTACTATATTACTATATTACTATATTACTATATTACTATATTACTATATTACTATATTACTATATTACTATATTACTATATTACTATATTACTATATTACTATATTACTATATTACTATATTACTATATTACTATATTACTATATTACTATATTACTATATTACTATATTACTATATTACTATATTACTATATTACTATATTACTATATTACTATATTACTATATTACTATATTACTATATTACTATATTACTATATTACTATATTACTATATTACTATATTACTATATTACTATATTACTATATTACTATATTACTATATTACTATATTACTATATTACTATATTACTATATTACTATATTACTATATTACTATATTACTATATTACTATATTACTATATTACTATATTACTATATTACTATATTACTATATTACTATATTACTATATTACTATATTACTATATTACTATATTACTATATTACTATATTACTATATTACTATATTACTATATTACTATATTACTATATTACTATATTACTATATTACTATATTACTATATTACTATATTACTATATTACTATATTACTATATTACTATATTACTATATTACTATATTACTATATTACTATATTACTATATTACTATATTACTATATTACTATATTACTATATTACTATATTACTATATTACTATATTACTATATTACTATATTACTATATTACTATATTACTATATTACTATATTACTATATTACTATATTACTTTTATGATATGTTACGATATTAGTTATGAATGTTAGTTAGTTATGAATTTACCCATTAACAAAATTCTTTAAGCCTATAATTTACCTTCACTTTAAATGATATTCCCTAACAATTCTAGTATTTTCAAATTCCCCCTAGTAATATCTATATTTCATCAAGCCTTTAATTGCACAGCTAGCTAATTTTGCAAATTCCTAATGATCTCCAGCTGTTACGTAATTCTTGACCGACTCGATGGCTGTTAATGGGCGATTGTTACAGTGTTGGCCATGCTGTGAGCCAAAGAAAACATCTGATGCCTGGTAAAAAGCCGCATAATTGAGCGCAGTCAAAGCGGCGTGACTCACATAAACGAGAGATCGTTGCCGCAGCAGATATTTCACTGCTCTCTGGCGCAGCTAAAATACGTAAAAAATCAAATCAAATCGCGGCAAGTGAAAGTTACTGGAAGTGGCAGCGTCATTTTTTGTGAACGTGCTCAGGTATCGGTAAACAAAACGAAGAAAAGAATCGACGTGAAAACTGTTCGCACACACAAATAGTTGAGCACACACAAGGGCTCTTACATAAGGCCATGTTAGCTAAACTTAATTGGGGAAAAAACCTATTTTGAAGTAAAGAATTGGTTGCAGCTGAGGGCGTTTAAAAATAAACAAGACATTTGTAAATCAAGCCAGTTTCACTTTAAAATTTGACGAGATTTGGTTACAAACTTTAACTTACTCCGGAGTCGATTGATTAAGACGAATAATTCTTGAACTTTAGTTAATAATTTTTTAAAACAATTGGAATTGAAATGGTAGCCAACAAATACCAATACTAATACATGTGTGATTTTTCTTAAGTTGAGTGTAACTTCTGCCCCTATCAACGTTTAGTTGAATATTATACACTAAATATGTTAAGCACCTTACAAAACCTCTTTAAAGCTCTCATAGAATTCATTATAGAAAGTTCTTAACTCACCGGCACGTGCCTCCGAGTGCTCCTCCTTCTCCTTCTCCACTTTATAGTCCACTTGATTCTTGAAGAACTTGAGTCTTTGCGTCACATTGACATCCTGCACATCCAGAGCGCCATCCAGGTAGCTAAATACGTTCTTCTGGAAGCAGGAGACGTCTGGCTTCAGATAGCAATCGCGGACAAGGCCGTCCCAGAGCTCGTTTCCACTGGTGAATCGCCGGGCCAGGCGGAGGAGCAGGGAGTCCCCGGGGGCCGCCTTATCAGTCTGCTTCCTGTCCGGAATATCGGAGGCATTCACCACGGGCTGCCACTCTTCTTCCGGCGGCAGTTCCGTCGTCGTCCAATCCTTTGGGGGTTCCGTCGGCGACTCGGTGACCGCCTCCTGCTCCTCGACGGCCTCCGTTTCCATTTCCAGGTGGCTCAACGGAGTGGTGGAGAGATGGCGACCAAGACGACCATTCCGAGCCGTTCCATCCGCATCGACGGCCGAGTTGATTAGGCAGATCAAGAGGAGGAAAATCAAGTGGCCACATTTTAAGCTGGCCATGCTCACTGGGTGGCAGTTGCAGGTGCGATTTCTACTGGAGGATGTGCACTGTCGCTGGCTCTCACCTGAGCCCCAATTATGGGGCAAATGACTGTGTGTGCTGGGCATTGTCAGTTTCGTTTTCGGTTTCACCTGGCCAGTTAGCACTGCTGACGGCCGATTCACACCTTGAACCTACAATTGCAATCGCAATTGCAATTGCACCTTGGCCCTGCAATTTAACTGTAGCCCAACTGTTTATTTAGCTGATTTCGCTGTAAGTACGTGTTGAGGGGACGGGAACTCTGGCTTTTTAGGAGGACACAATGGCCGGCTTTATTGGCGAAATCGTTAGCCAATTGACAAATCAATTTATGAGGCACTCGGCTTAGCACGCAAACACAATTCCATTGATTGTCGGTCGGTTTTTCGTAGCAGCTCGATTCTTTTTATTGGTTTTAATGTACTTTCTTCGTGCTGTGTGTTTTGGACTCGTTTGTTTGGAATTTCGCTGCCGCATTTAGCGCGTTTTCTATTTGCTCTATTCGGTTATCCGGCTACCTGCAATTACTTCATCGCGTCACACCTACGGCCTAACGGTTTCGTATCTGGAGGCGAGTATCTTGTAACTAGTATCTCGGGGATATGCAAATCACCTGTTGGCGCGTTCCGCGTGCGCATGCGTGCGCGTCTGGTTAACAACTGAGCGTGTTGTGGCCCAAACAGTTGGCCAAGATCATGGCCAGGCTTAAAGCAGACCGGTCGCTCTCTCTGGGGCCTTACTCTCCTAGGTTTCGTTCAGTTGTCGTTGACTTTTTGCACTGCAATATCGGTTGTATCTGGTATCTGGTATATGGTATGGTACTCCTGCATTCACACGTAGCTCTTTCAAGATTCTTCCGCCGCGCAAAACCTTAACTGTAATTTTTGCCGCGGCTGAAAGTTGTTTGGTCTACGCTCACTCCACTATGTTTGTTTATACAATTTCCAGTTAGCTTCAGATTGCTTCGAGTGCAGTTTGTCTGCTGGCTTGACGTTAATTTTCCTGGTAGTTTTTGCGCCGCTCTTCCTTAGTCGGCGCTTTTCACGGCCATTTGGTGTCCAGTGAACGGGTTTTCCTACAACGACAAAGTAAGTAAATATAGCGATTTTTATTATGTTTTGATGGCGCCAATATGGTTACTTAGTCTTTGGTTTTCCGGCAACTTTAAATCGAGATAAAAGAGAAAATGGGTCAAGAGTGGAGCGACTGACTTGTAATTCGATTAAAAGATACCAGTTTTATATGGTCATAATAATTTTCAATAGAAAATCTAGAAGTAACCCCTCTTTAATACGAAAATCTGTGTTTGCTTCTCTTTATTTGTAATTAACTAACTAACTATTTACAAGACTTTACAAGTGTGTTTCCTAAAAATATATACATCTTCGTTTTATTTTTAAACGAAAATTGGTGACCAATTGACCTATAAATTACGAAGTTTACCTTTTATCCACATCGATTGGATTGGGAACAGAACTGAAAAGCCGTTCTTGGGGACAAAAGAAACCAATCGACTGTCAAATAAAATGGCCATTACTGAACCACTTCCGATGAGCAACAAAAGACGTGTGGTGGCACACATATGACATATGACATTCATCTTTTGTTGCTCGTGGGCCATTGAAAGTGCTTCAGCTAATATTCCATATTTGATCAAGATATCAATCTCGGTTCTTGCACTTTGACCTTGTTATTGCTACTTTATTCTGACTCTGAACTTAATTGGCACACGTCTGAGACCTTTGTGGCATTCTAATTAGCTCAACGTTGTCGCTGATTTGGGCCCAGACATAAGAGCCATTCCATAAAGTGTTTCAGCCGTTTATAATTATGTTTCCAATGCAATCAATTAGACCGCATTACGCGCACAGCTGCATACTAGAGTACTGCTCACGATTATTATTTTTAACGAGCTGCGACTTAGTTGCTCTCTGCAGACGGTACGTATGCGTAATGTGCATAAACGACATATGTTTCATGTAACGCGTCGCGTTGTTATGGCTTTTCATATTAAAGGCATTCTATTAAAGTGCCATGGCGGCTTATGTCATGCCAAAGAAACAGCCATAAAGCTGCGAGTACACAATTGCTATTAAAATAATGGCCAGCTAAATCAAGTTTAGGGAGTCGGCGGCAGCAGAACTCGCTCCTCACCCGAAAAACCATATGATGTAAGTTCTTCGCGGGTTCAAGTCGAGTCGAAGACCCAGCTGCAACCGTTAGGTGGTTTAAAGGTTAGTAGCTTAGAAATATGGCACTTCGGGTTTGAGCAGAGAACCAAATAAAAAATGTTTAGGTAATGTTTAGTAAAAAAAGTATCAAATTTGTGCTTAGGATGCTGCAGGTATCAGCGACTTAGAAAATTAATATTTGAATAAATTTTGAATTTTTGTTGTTTTTGATAAAAGTGTTTTAATTGCCATTTTGTATTTCAACACACTTACAAAAATCTTATGGATTTTTAGATAATTTAGATCATTAAATATTTTATTACTGAAATTATTATATGAAATATTACCCGAAAGTTATTATAATGCAAAGTACAATTAATTTTTGTTTACTCATGTGCCCTTAAAAATTGTTTTCGGTCTTATGCAAGACTTGAGATACATTTTCGGCTGCTGTTCTGTTGTTGGCTTTCACTCGAATGCTTCCTGCTCTTTTTAATAATGATTCAATTACATCTGTCTTAATGGCACTTGAAAATGGCCAGCTCTCGGCTGGCAGGTAGATTACGTTTTCGGAAGGTAACGAGCTTTCCCTGCACGCTGTTTCTGCCGCTGTCAGTCGCAGCATTTCCGTGAGATTTTATTGCATTTTTATGTGACAATTTCTCGGGCTGACACACGCATCCGAACATCGCAAATGCTTCGCTCGACGAGTGGTTATGTAAAGCTTTAAGTATTTGCATTCCATTAAATTGTATCTATGTTCGGGACAGACTTTCGGTTTCAGTCGAACGCCTAGTGAATGCGTCTAATAGATTACTAATTTCACTTTATGCGTGCTTGTAACTTAGTTGGCCGACTGTGGTGTGATTTGTGTTAGCGTGCAAATATTTTAAAGAGTTTTTCGACTCTTTCTGCATTTCTTTGGTTGCGTTTCAGTGAAATCTATAGTTGAGCCGAACGAAAAGCAAACTCACTTTCGTTGCGGTTAACCAACTTGACTCACTAATGGCTTATTAAGTCCAAATAGATCGGATTCAACGTACTTTTTATGATCCATCTGCCGGGGAGCGCAGCAAATTGACTGTGATTATTGGCCGAGAGACAATAAAAAATCAAATAAAATAACTCGAGCTCGGAATGAAAAACATTCTGCCACCGCACTGCTGTGCATATATTGCTGCGGTTTATCGCCTGTAAATTATGCCGAAGGTTTCATTTTCAATTAAATGTGATTATTTGGAGTGAACCTCAATTTGAGCTGGGTCCAAACGATTTGTTTACTTTCTTCTCGCATGCTTTTAATTTGTGTATCACTGTAAATACCCTAATAATTTTGGTTTTCCTTCGTTTCGAGAATCTACAACCGGTGAGCACGCAATCCCAAGCACTAATTGGGATTCTAATGTGTATTAGAGCGCGTTGAGATTCCCATCTGGCATGCGCTAATAACTCAAGGTGGGCGGGGAAGGTCTTTAAGAACTTCACGAAGGTAGTTGGCAAAGCCAAGAAACCACAGGAAATTTCACTTTTACCCACTGGGTTAAATGCACATGGACATGCATCGCATTTCCCCGGCAAACAGGTTTCCATTTTTTCGGTTGATAAGTGCAACCGGCTTGCCAGCTGTTGGCTTTTGTTTTGTTGGTCACTCAGGCAACTTAAACTGGGTCAAATATTTGCATTCCGGTTCGATTTGAGTGGGAATCTTTGTCTTCCTGCTTTTACCTACTCACTTGAAGAGATGGTCCACCAGCAACTAACACGCACAGTCACTCGCCATCACCATTGACTCATAATTCTTGGGCGCGAAACGGTGTTGTTCGCCATGGCGAGACGCCTAATTAGCAAGATATTTTGTTATTTGTCCGCTGGTCACTTTCGCTCTCGGTTTTCACAAGAAGAAATTAGTTAGATTTGATTTTCAGAATCCGTCGTGTCTTTCACTTTTTACAGTTGCCAATAAAAACAGCCGAGAGGCGCGATAAACGTGGAAGACCGACGACCGTGGAAGACCAACTGAAACGGAGGTGCCGCCGCACAAAAGATGCGGCCAACTTTGGGTGTTGGTAGGTGAGTTTAATCGTACAGGCACAGATACATTAACGATATATACAGATTCAGACAAACACACTTAAACAGCGAGAGAGATGGAGAGAAAGTAAGTACTTCTGACCGCCGGAAAGTATGCGACAACTTTTCTGCTTTCTTGTGATATGCGTTGCTTGAATTCACAGTGATCTCTGCATAATCCGGAAAGAAAAATTTCCCAATATATTTCATAATAAATTTTAAAAAATATTTCGTTGTCTTTTAGTTAGTTTTTAATTTTATTAAACATTTTAATACTTACTAGTGGAGTGTAGAGTAAGGTGACGAACTCGTCAAATCTCATATATCTCATAGTCGAATTCACTTATCGTGTCGACAATGTACATATTTACAATAACATTATTAAGAACTCGCGTAATTTGTTCGTGACATAATTTTGACTAGAAAGGTACCGCAAAAATTAAAAAACCTATTTAATTTACAGGGGTTTCAGAAGTTTTTGTACTAATATTTATTAAACGTTGATCAACCAACTTAATGGCTTAAAACACATGGAAATAACAAAGATAAATAACATGAAACATAACAGGAATAAGAAAAATTTAACAGAAGTTTCAGAAGTGCCAGATCAAAACTTTGGGGAAAACCAGGTCAGACAACTCAATAATTTTTTGTTGAATTTTGTGAACTAGAAATTGAACAACTTAATTTATTCAATTTAAACCAAGAACTGAAGTAGTATTCCATTATTGTACATTTTTAACTTTTCTTGAAGAAAAAATAAATTATTTTCACAACTGCATAGAGTTTTAGTGTGTATTTATCAGTTCGTCAACTTGCCCTACAACTTTAAAAAGTGAAAAAATATTGGTTCATAGTATCTAACTCCGCTAGAATTTCACCATGGAACTTTTACAGGAACATGCTCAATAGATGTCATCACCTTTCTGCTTTTAAGCCTTTGAAAAATATCATTTTTGGAAAATTGACATTCAAAAACGAATCGTTCGTCACTATACCCTACACTCCCCTATATATTTTTTGTGAAATGTTTTGCTTGAGATTCACAGTACAATCTGCCTAAGCCGGAAAAATTACCTCCCAATTTCAGTTCAATTTATTTTAAGTTTTTATGGTAATCTAGCATTTTATTGGAATATATTTAAAATATATAAATATTTTTTTTTCTATAAATTTGTCGCTTTTGTTTCCACATAAACTTTCCTTCAGATATCTATATTTCTGAGAAAGTTTTTCCTGTAGTAATGCGACGGAGATTTGACTTCCTTTGTTCCCTTAATTTATTCAATTAGCTTGCTGCTTCCGTGGCCTCATTGTCGGCAGTGGTTTCGATGGTTGTTACTTCAATGCCACTTGGGTTACTGCTGTTCAATAGTAATCTGGTTGGCTCAGTAAGACTTGTTATTGGTGCTTTAGTTGTTGAAGTAGTTGTACTTGTCGCTGTCTTTCGCCATTTTCCCCTCCACTTTTTTGGGCCATCTTGGTTGGCTGGCTTCATTTGATTCTTCATTATCTTGTGCCATTCAGATCCGTTGTCTTGTTGGAGGGAGCTTCCAAGTAGATTCACAGTCATCATCTCATTGAAGCCCAGTCTGCTCATCAGACGCATCTGTTGGTTTAGCATAAAGGGAATGGGATATGGGATATAGACTGGAAGGGGATAGAAAACAGGTTGAGTAGCCACTGTATCCATTGGTCCATGGGCCATTGCGGGCGAACTCTCCCACATTCCCGGCATCAGCAGTAAGTCCTGCATTGGATGCTTCTGCTTTTGTCCATAACTAAAAGCTGGTTTCTGCTTCTGAAGAGGTTCTGTTTTTTTAGGTGGCCTTTCTGTGGAATCAGTTGTGTCCGTCACAAGTGGAATTGCGGTTGCCGCATCTTGTATTAGAGTGGGTTCAATTTCTTGTTCCGATTTAATTGACTCTCCAACTTTTGGCTTAGCTAGGGGGTTCGAAAGTACAATCAGTGGAGTTTTTGGATCATCTCCGCTCGCTTTCAGCACTGCTAACGGCTGCTCACTTTGCAATTGGGCAAAAGTTTGACTTGTTAAGAGGAGGGCGAGGGCTGTAAAATAATAGTAAATGTTATACAAATTTCAATCAGTGAATTTTCTGCTACTTACCACAATAAATGAACTTCATGGCGAGATTAAACAAACTGAACTTCGTCTGATAATTTTCGCATTTTATATGTTGTGCTTGAATTGGAAAGTAGGTCTAATCAATTCATTAAAATGTTGCTAATTGGCAAAAAAAATGTTATAAAGAACATATCTTCTTTATACGATTGCTTTCTACAAAGGTTTGAATAAATGGTATTTCTTAAAACTGGTTTATCACGTGCGTTAAATACAAAATTTCATGTTTAGTAATACATTGAACATTGAAATATTTAAGTTATTTATATTTGCGACTTTTAAAAGTACAAGGTTCTTTTACAAAGCGACTGGATTGCACAAAAAACATTTTTCACTTTTTTTATATCCTCAAATTTTATACACATATACTATTTGGTACATAACATAACACATGTATCCGGGCTTGGCAGAAAAAATATTATTTTCTTCGTTAGAATTTTTTAAAGTTTTTTAATAAATTGTAAAAAATGAGTAATCTTTGATTAGCTCTTCGCTCGCTCTTAGCGGTGGCAGCGCTTTTCGCTCTAATTTTTCTACACATGCTTTTGTTTCTGGCGGCGCCAAGAAAGAGAGAGCAATAGATAAAATAGACTAAAAACATTAATATAGGAAATAGCTCTGCTCAGCCCCTGCCGCTATAGTCGAGTACCTCGACTATCAGATACCCGTTACTCAGCTAAAGGGAAATGGAGATACGCAAGCAGCAAAGCGAGATTAAAATGCGCCACCTACCGGGGGTAGACAGATTTAAGCGTTATGGGCGTTAGAGTGGGGGTGTTTTTTGTATCAATTGATAGGTATTGACGAGACCAATACATTTTAGTCAAAGTTTTTCATTTAGCATGAAAATTGTGGGCGTCACAGGTTTGGACGGTTTGTGAATCTGCATGCCTAATCCAAACTTTGTCGCATTTATAGTTTCCGAGATCTCATCGTTCATAAGGACGGACATAGCTAGATCGATCCCGATCAAGAATATAAATATATACTTTATCGGGTCGGAAACGCTTCAGTCCGACTAATCTAATGTATGCTTTAAGTCTACGAGTAAGGGGTGTAATGACTTCATGCTGCTGTTAAAGCGAGATGGACTTGTATATTTATTTTATATCACAAACTTTGACCCAATCGGAAAGTAGGTTAAACCAATTGCTAATTAAGGTAATTGAAACTTGAGTTACTCATTTTAAGATTATCTGGTTAATCTCTTGTAATTCAAATACTTCTGTCACTGTGAACTAGACTGTTCCCTCTTTGATTACTTTGTTTAACCGCAAGAGTTTGCTAATTGTTCATTTAACAATGCAATTTTTGGACCCTGCTAATTCATAAACGCTTAACATACGAAAAGGTAGCTTAGCTTTGATGCCATCGAATATTATATACCCTTTACTCTGCTAAGTTTACTGGAAGGCCTCAGTGAGGGCGAGGGAGATAAAGATATACAAGTAGCAAAGCGTATTTTCCCTTCTTATAACTTCTTAATGAATGGCCCGGATTGAACATTCTTTGGCATATAGTTGGACATTGATACATGCCAAATCCTAACATTCTAGATCTTACGGACAGGGCTAGATCTACCCGGCTAGTGATCCTGTTCAAGAACATATATATTTTATTAGATCGAAAACGCTTTTTTCTACCTGTTACGTACTTTGGGTCGAATCTAACATACCCTTTTACTACGAGTAACGGGTATAGAAATTGTAGTAGGAGTAGTGTAATAATAAATGTGGGGTCGAACATGAGAAGAAAGACTTAATTCAAAAGAAGAAATTATAATAGACAAACAAAAAGGGGGAGGAAGAATCAAGAAACAGATTTGTGAAGACGATGAGAAACAAGAGTAGCCTTGAACCAGTCCGGTACTAAGACTTTGGCTAGGGGACGAGAAAACGATTTCAATCAATTGAAGTTAATATCCATATTTTTAATTAAGTCGAAACTAAATAATAAATATAATAAATATAACAATGATAATATTAATTATAAGCTCGATACTTTTGTAGAGATATTAACTTTTAATCAGCATAATTTTAATTATTTGTTAGCTCTTTATAAATAAATAATAAATAAATCAGCATAACCTCTTGAACTGAAATCTGTATCTGTATCCATATGTTTAAGAAATGTTGTGACTCTTGTTGTCACGGTTGTATGAGGAGATGCAGCCTAGGCAGTGGATGTTGCTAGAGTTCCTGCCAATCCTGCAACGGCAGTTGACGGATCGGGGGTTGTCGATGTTGAGTTGTATGCGGAATAGCATTAGAGGTTTTTGTAGCTTCTGTTGTCGTGGTTCTTCTAGGCGGAAGTGTAGTAGTGGTTGTGGCTTTTGTTGTAGTAGTTGTTGTTGTGGGTTCCGTTGTTGTGGTTGTTGTTGTGGGTTCCGTTGTAGTGGTTGTTGTTGTGGGTTCCGTTGTTGTGGTTGTTGATGTGGTTGTTGTATGCGGAATAGCATTAGATGTTTTTGTAGCTCCTGTTGTCGTGGTTCTTCTAGGCGGAAGTGTAGTAGTGGTTGTGGTTTTTGTTGTAGTGGTTGTTGTTGTGGGTTCCGTTGTAGTGGTTGTTGTTGTGGGTTCAGTTGTTGTGGTTGTTGATGTGGTTGTTGTATGCGGAATAGCATTAGATGTTTTTGTAGCTTCTGTTGTCGTGGTTCTTCTAGGCGGAAGTGTAGTAGTGGTCGTGGCTTTCGTTGTAGTGGTTGTTGTTGTGGGTTCCGTTGTTGTGGTTGTCGTTGTGGGTTCCGTTGTAGTGGTTGTTGTTGTGGGTCCCGTTGTTGTGGTGGTTGATGTGGATGTTGTATGTGGAATAGCATTAGAGGTTTTGGTAGCTTCTGTTGTCGTGGTTCTTCTAGGCGGAAGTGTAGTAATGGTTGTGGCTTTTGTTGTAGTGGTTGTTGTTGTGGGTTCCGTTGTTGTGGTTGTTGTTGTGGGTTTCGTTGTTGTGGTTGTTGTTGTGGGTTGCGTTATTGTTGTTGTTGTGGGTTCCGTTGTTGTGGTTGTTGTATGCGGAATTGCACTAGAGGTTTTTGTAGCTCTTGTTGTCGTTGTTCTTCTTGTCGGACGTGTAGAGGTTGTTGCTGTGCCTTCTGTGGTCGTGGTTGTAGAAGGCGGACTAGTAGTGGAGGTTGTGGCTTCCGTTGTAGTGGTTGTTGTTGTTGTGGCTTCTGTTGTCGTGTTTGTAGAAGGCGGACTTGTAGTGGAGGTTGTGGCTTCCGTTGTAGTGGTTGTTGTTGTGGGTTCTGTTGTCGTGGTTGTTGAAGGCGGACTTGTAGTGGAGGTTGTGGCTTCCGTTGTTGAGGTTGTTGTTGTGCCTTCTGTTGTCGTGGTTGAAGAAGTCGCACTAGTAGTGGAGGTTGTGGCTTCCGTTGTAGTGGTTGTTGTTGTGGGCTCTGTTGTCGTGGTTGTAGAAGGCGGACTTGTAGTGGAAGTTGTGGCTTCCGTTGTAGAAGTTGTTGTTGTGCCTTCTGTTGTCGTTGTAGTGGTTGTTGTTGTGGCCTCTGGTGTCGTGGTTGTAGAAGGCGGACTAGTAGTGGAGGTTGTGGCTTCCGTTGTAGTGGTTGTTGTTGTGGCTTCTGTTGTCGTGGTTGTAGAAGGCGGACTTGTTGTGGAGGTTGTGGCCTCTGTTGTAGTAGTTGTAGAAGGCGGAATTGCAGTGGAGGTTGTTTGAGTTCCTGTTGGTGTTGGAATGGCAGTTGATGTTGCTGGGTCAGGGGTTGTTGTAGGTGAAACTGTAGTGGATGTTGTTGAAGTTCCTGTCGATCCCGGATCGGCAGTTGCGGTAGATGGGTTATGGGCTGTTGTTGGAGGTCTCGTGGATGTCCTTCTTCTTCGCCATTTTCCCCAAAACTTTTTTAGAGCAAAGTTGGTGGGCGGCTCATCATAGTCTTGATATAAAGAGTCCTTTAGCAAGTTCTCAGTTCTTATTTCATTGATTTTCGCTGCTATTTTATTTTCCAAATCTCCCGTCGGCGGCCTAGCCCTATTATAAGTTTGTTGGTTGCCGTAGCTTAACTTAATGGGAATGGGTACATCCGAATTGAATACTTCTTCCTTTGAGAGTTGATCAGAGGGATCAGCCCGGCAAAAACTTATGCTTGATATGCATAATAGGAAGGCGAGCGCTACACAAACCAAATTTGTTAGTTACCATTATAATTCAAATATATCTGTACCTACCGTAAGCAATGAACGCCATGGTGTTGCCAAATAAACTGTTACCTTCTTTTGATACATTTCGCATTTTATATGCGAAATATCAGCACGTATGAATTGGAAAGTGTGTCATTGGCAAATTTTAATGTCTACTAAGTCTGCTAATTAATATCTAGCTAAACTTCTCTTTAATAAAAAAAAACTAATCTTAGCATCTGTAAATATGTAGGAGTATGTTAATATTTTGTTTCTTAATGCTTGCTAATTTAGAAATGTGGTTTGTTCAAGGAATACACCTACCTATAAAGGTTTAAATACAACGAAATTAAAAAATTCAATTTTTTTTGTTTAATAAAAGTAGGTTATGTGAAGTATATAATCTACCGCAAAGAAGCAATTTGGTAATTCCAATTTAGTTTTTGTTAAGAATAGCCCCAACAAGAATTTAACTGATGACTTTTATATGCTTGTATTGCGCTTCTTAAAGTATAATAAATAAATAAGTTATGAGATAATGCTATAAGTGTCTGCTCTTCACTAGTATTATTGGATTTGGTTGGCTGACTGATCCACTTTTAGCGACCTAGCATATCCTCCATATCCGAAACCACTGGCGGTACCTCCGCCACCACCTCCAGCGGCAAAGTGGGGACTGTGGCCATGACCTCCATCCTCGTGGGTCACCGAGTGCGAGTGGCTGGAGGTGTAAATTGGCTTAGCCACTATCTCGTATGTGGTGGACTTCCCGCCGCCACCGGCCAAGCTCTTCAGTCCCAAAACTCCAGACAGTGTCAAGGCCATCAGAGCTGTCATCAGAGCCTTTCCGGCCATCAGAGCGATGGCGCCGAAGCCCATGGCCATAAGCATTCCCTTCATCATGACTCCGGCTGCCACCAGGGCTTCCAAGCCTCCTTTCTTTCCGAACTTGTGCTTGCGACCCTCTACGAGGGACTTGTCATCCAGCAGGCGGAATCTGAGGAAGCGCGTTTTCAGAAGATTCTCCAGTTTGGCAACTATGTAGCCATTCAAGCGAGTGCTGGGATCACTGGGATAGCTGCGAGCCACTTCTGCAAAAATATAAGTGTTAGTCATGTTCAGATACCTAAAACTTAATCGAAATTTTAATTAATCACCTAATTATTTTTTAGATTAAAATAAATATTTTTTTTTAAGACGCAATCATGTTATGTCTTTAATGCTGGTGCTCAAAAAGTTTCATGTTCAATATAATTATAATCACAACAACATATGATAACCTATTTAGTTAATTTGATTTAGAAGTCTTAAGAAATGTTTTTTCTAAGAACCAAAAATCTTTAAAAAGTTCCAAACGCGTTTGTGTATTTGTCTTTGAGGAACCTACCTGCCATTAGCTCCGATGTCTTCAGTTCCTTGGCATTTTCATCTTTAACCACACTGACGCCAGGCAAAACGTTCAGTTCCTCCTGCTCGGCGAGCTTTTCCATGATCTTGACAAATTCGATCTTGAGGCACATCCAACTGAACGAAGATGTTTCACAGCCGCTGAGAAGGCTCTCAGCTTTTTGGGGTTTCCGGAGGGTTTCCGTTGCAACTGCAGGCGCTTCCGTGGATTGGACACTTGCTGCCGTGGCGTATTTGCACATGAAGGCAAACAAGGCCAAATAAAACAGATATTCCAGGGTCTTGGTCAGCAACATCTTCGCTATCTACTGCGTTCGGGATTGTTCGAGAGACTGCATCATCCCAATTTTATGGCTTTAGCTTTTATACCCGCTGCCACTGCTTCCATTTCCATTCCCATTTCCCTTTCACCAAAACCGAACTCCGCACCAGGGCCCTTGTGCTTTTCTAATTACCCAAACGATTTGTGGTCGAAATTCTTCCCAGCGTCGGTCAGCTGCGTCCAACTGGGCGGCACTTTCGCTTTCCTCTGCGGCAGTGGCAGGGTCAGTCTTGCGAAACGGCCGGCTAATTCTGTCACCAAAAGGTTCCAGCCAATGAATTCCCCAAGGGGCTGAGAAGAAAACTCTCCCAGACTCGGGAATCCAGGTAATTACAAGTGCCAGATAAAAGTCGCGTGCCTCGGACCTCCATAAATTAAGAGCCAACATTTGCCTGCCTAACTGGGACTAACTAACAATTCATTGTTAATTATTACTACATTTTCATTTGTGTCTGCTCAGCCTCGTTTCGCTACTTTCTTTGCTCGTACTGTCCATGAGGTAATATATCTTTCCACGCCGAGTCTTGACTGTTTAATATTCAGATTACATGCAGTGCTAATGACCAATTTGTAAGTGGCCTTTTGATTTTCGCCTACTGCCAGATGGTTTATGTCTTGGTTGGAAATCATAGGAGGATGCTCGTGTTGGGAAGCAACAGAACAATTGCAATAATTATTATTTATTTCAATAATATTTGTGTAAATAATGCAGGTCATGAATCACTCTTGAACAATACATTTAGAAGATGGTCTAAAACTGCTTATAATTTGATTTTGATTTAGCAATAAATTGTTTTTAAATTCTTTCAATTTTCCTATCTTTATACCCTTGCAGAGGGTATAATGATTTCAGTCAGAAGTTTGCAACGCAGTGAAGGAGACGTTTCCATAAAGTATATACATATATTCTTGATCAGCATGACTAGACGAGTCGATCTAGCCATGTCCGTCTGTCCGTCCGTTTCTACGTAAACTAGTCTCTCAGTCTTAAAGCTATCGGGCTGAAACTTTCCCAAAAGTCTTATATCTTTTGAAGGTGGTATATAATTCGGAACCAGCCGGATCGGACCACTATATCTTATAGCACCCATAGGAATAATCGGAAAAAAAATTTTAAAAAATTATATATTTGGTGTTTTTTAACATATAACCTCATAAGCTAGGAAATAACATTTTTAATTAGTTTTAGTTTAGACTATAGCATATAACTGCCATAGGAACTATCGAAAAATTGGTGGGAAAATAATATGAAACAAATTATAGCTTCGGTGTTTTTTTACATATAACCTCCTACGCTTGGAAATAACATTTTTTAATTAGCTCTGAATTTCGAATTTAATTTTATCAAAATTGGATATATTATTATATATATATATATTATTATATTATATAGCTGCCATAGGAACGATCGGAAAATCGGTGGGAAAATAATATGAACCAATTTATAGCTTCGGTGTTTTCTGAAATATTATTTTATACTATTTGGAATATCATTTTTTGTATTTATACCCGTTACACGTAGAGTAAAAGGGTATACTAGATTCGTCGGAAAGTATGTAACAGGCAGAAGGAAGCGTTTCCGACCCCATAAAGTATATATATTCTTGATCAGGATCACTAGCCGAGTCGATCTAGCCATGTCCGTCTGTCCGTCTGTCCGTCTGTCTTTCCGGATGAACGCTGAGATCTCGGAAACTAGCTAGGCTATTGAGATTTGGCGTGCAGATTCCTGAGCTTCTTACGCAGCGCAAGTTTGTTTCAGTAGAGTGCCACGCCCACTCTAACGCCCACAAACCGCCCAAAACTGTGGCTCCTACAGTTTTGATGCTAGAATAAAAATTTTAACTGAAATGTAATGTTCTCATCAATACCTATCGATTGACCTAAAAAAAAATTGCCACGCCCACCCTAACGCCCATAAACGGCCCACAAACTTCAAAAAATCGTAAATATGAACGTGGATATCTCGGAAACTATCAAAGATAGAGAATTGGGATTTCAGATTTAGATTCCGTAGCCTTATACGCAGCGCAAGTTTGTTACGCGAATATGCCACGCCCACTCTAACGCCCACAAGCCGCGAAAACCTGTGACGCCCACAATTTTTATGCTAGATGAAAAATTTTAGCTGAAATGTATTGGTCTCGACAAAACCTATCGATTGATCCAAAAAATTTGCCACGCCCACTCTAACGCCTATAACGCTTAAATCTGTATACCGCCGGTAGGTGGAGCATTTTAATCTTGCTTTGCTACTTGCATATCTCTATTTAGCTGAGTAACGGGTATCTGATAGTCGAGGTACTCGACTATAGCGTTCTTCCTTGTTTTAAATTTAATAATTATAACTGCAAGGGTATACAAGCTTCGGCTTCTGTGAAGTTAACTTGTTTTATCTAGTTTCTATGAAGACTAATTATGTTATTAATAATTGTATGCTTTCTTACTCTTTTGGGCTGCAAACAAAACATACCATCAGAAATAAATGTTGATTTCTTACTTGTACGTATCTGCTAAAAATCGAAACTTTAATATGTGTATGCTTTGCTAGTATAACAAGATTTTATTTAAAAATGAAGATAGGTTGATTTAGAAAACGTAGATCAATAAATAATAAATATTAATATGTATGCGGCAAGCTTTAGAGTACTGATTTTTATTTTCCAGAGGGCGCTGCAGTCGTTGTGGTCGTGGTTGTAGTTGTAGTTGTAGTTGTAGTCCTCTTGTTCCTGAATTTTTCACCGAATCTTTCAAAGAATCCTGTTCCATTGTTGTTGTTGAATGGGGGGAATCGCAGCTGTCCAAGGTTTCCACCATCCTCAACCACCGGCGCAGCTTCAATAATCTCCTCCGTATTCACAGCGCCATCCTTGACTGCCAGGGATGTCTTTTCATCTTCGACAGGAAGGGCCCAGGCCAAGGATACCAAAAGGCCAACAATGAGGGCGAATTTAATCTGCCAACCGAAGAGTTTGTTGCTCAAGCCGTTCATCTTGAATCTGTTGAATTTCGGCCACCTCGGTTGCCAGTTTTATACCAACGCCAAGTGGGACATTTGGCTGAAAATCAATTAGGAAGTTTACGCAAAGAAAGCCCGTGGGCCTAAATCCAGACAAATAAGTTTGCTAATATAATTAAGAAATATTTGTCCACTATATTTGTTTTTGCACGAGGTCCAATGAAAGTGCCTATAAAAGAAACTAAAAACCAAACTGATTTCAATTTGAGTTTATTTACACTTTTTAGGTTGTACGCTTTTTTCTAGTGTCAACATAAATCAATTTGTTGGCTGACCATTAATCATTGTCCTTTGGCAACATTTTTGGCCATGCCATGCTGATAAAAAGTCGGAAAATATGTTCAACCTTCAACAAGATTGAACAGCGCCAGATATACTTCCTGTAAATGTTCCGAATTTTCCGTTTTAAGCAAAAATGTTTGAAGAGCGTTTGGTTTTGCATTTGTGAATCATTTTTATTCAATTGCTTTAAGTTATTTGAATAAATACTTATGAAGTAGGCTCTTGAGCAGGCATAATCTTCGTTGTTTTCGATGAACCTGAGTGACATTTACAACCGCCAAGAGACATGTGGATTGTGAAATGTGCAATAAATATGGCGCAATCATGATTGACTTTACGAGTAGTATCCTTAAGCATTGTCCTTGAGCTAGCCAAGAGTCGTGGGACCGTTTCAATTGTTCTCTTTTTTTGTGATTTTCTTTTTTGGTATGTCGCAGCTAACTAACTAAGTGTAACTAAATAATTATTGACTACGAATTAGGCCATTCTTCAGGAAAGTCTTAGGGGGATAGGTGGAGGAAATGAGGGTGCAGTGGGAGGAAGTTGAAGAAGGGTGAAGCTTTGGTAGGGTAAGATATAGCAGGTGAAAGATTCGGGCTAGTACAGCGTGGGATGGATGGATCGGTCGACGGTTTCTGGCTTAGAAGGGCTGGGCCAGGCCGTAGTGGTTGTAGGCCAGATCGGCGGCTCCAGCCTGACCGTTGCGGCTCCAGTCGGAGTGCACGATGTCGGCGTTCAGGGGGCTGCCGGTGATGTAGGCAGTGGTGATGTGTTCCTTCTTCTTGGCCAGCAGGTCCTTGAAGAAGGTGGCACCTGCGGGGAAAACCGGTTTCAAAAGCGCCCTTCTATGGACCATTGCGGACAAACTCACCAGCCAGAATGAGGGCCAGGAAGGAGATGGCCAGGGCCTTCAGCGAGATGAACTTGATGATGGTGAACATAATCTTGACAACGACGGCCTTCTTCAGCTTCAGGGCCAAAAGAAGGGGCAGCAGCATCTTCTTCATGCGCTTGCTGCGGGACTCTGTTTATTTTATTTGGGGAGAAAGCAAAAAGAAAGTGGGAAATATAGAAATGCTCCTAAAAGTATTCAACGCTTGGCAGTCAAGTGAAAGCTTTCCCTTCACTTTTCGCCAGAGCAACTAAGTATGCCAGTAGTTTTGCTTTTGGCAGCTGGCTTTGTGCGCACTCGAGTGGACCTTAGTACTTTTAGCCCTTTGAATGTAAACTTGTAAGTCGGGAAATGGCATTACTTTGAGTGGCAGTACGGTTTTCTGAAATTAATCACCCAAAAGTAATTTTACTTTTACCTTGAATTTGAATCTCAAGAATTGGAAGTGTGGGGGTATAAAATATTATACATTTTTGGGTATTAAAAAGTTAAGATTTTCGTTCATTTTTAGATAATTACTTTTTAGATTTTAAAATTTTAAATGTAAAAGACTACCAAAATGGTACTTCGTTTACATTTTACAACTGATAAAAAATTAAGAATGAAGTTTAGAAATTGTCTTAGAATCCAATGCCAGTCATGTCTTAAGAAAAATCACTTTTAGAAGAATACTTTCTTCGAAATCACTCTGGTATACATATGTAGTTCGGGACCCCTTAAAGAAGGCACCGATCACTCACCCTCCATGGCGCGTCCGGTGTACTCGTTCTCGGCGATCTCCTCCTGCTCATCGCCGGAGAAGGAGAGGTTCAGCTCGTGGGTCTCCAGGTAGCGCTCGGCGCGGTCCTCGAAGGACTCGACGGCCTTGGCGGCCCCGAAGCTGCGGCCCGTCTCCGAGCGGTCGATCCTCAGGCCGCCGAAGAGCGCGACGGACTCCTCGCCGTCCAGGCGGTTCAGCATGTTGACCAGGTCCCGCTCGCTGTTGTCCTGCGAGGGCAGGGCAAGGGAGCCACACACAAGGCTGGCCAGCAGCACTACACATACGAATTTCGCGCACATTTTGATTAGCACTTGGGGTTTTCGACTTGAGAGGGTTATAATCCTTGGGACGGCTGCCTGGAGCTGGTGAGTGCTGCCTTTGCTTTGTGAACGGGAATCGCTTTGTGATTAATTGAATGCACTGCCCCCGCGTTTTATACCATTTCGATTCGACGTCGATTGACCAATTTTGTGGCTAGAAATCGCGCGCCCGGCCAAAACGCACCGCGCCGCACTGCAATAACAATAACAATACCGAAAACCAATACCGAAATCCAAAAACAATTTATGCAAAGCATATGCGTATGCTACCTGGCCGGCAATTTCTTGACCATATTTCCACGCACGTCGCGATGTCAACGAAAGGGAAGTGGCCAGTGGTCGGTGGTCGGTAGTCGGGCGGCTGAATATGATTTTTGTATATACATATATTTTATATAAGCAAGTGGCCCGATTTCGGGTGCTCAGCCGTTATCCGAATCCTAATTGGCATTCAATGGAGTCGCCGGGGCGACGTGTTCGGATTGCCTGTGCCAGATTCTTGGGCGAGTGTTCCTCCCACCGGGCCATTAGGGCCCACAGATTATAGTGGTGGATCTGCGAGACGAGAGCCATCCGTATTTGGTATGCCCCGCCGGTGGTGACTTAATGCACCATTTGGCCCAGTTAGTTGCTCTGGCCAGGCGCTTTCAGCGCTTTCGATTTCATTCTCCTTTGTCAAGTGGCGTTTGCGGCTCGTTTTCTATTTCAATTGCTTCTAAATCTGCCTCCGAAAGAAAGCTGAATTGTAGCACATCGCCGCATATATCTCTTTTCAATCGCAAAGTGACACTTTTATGAGCATAAGTAGAAAGTTTCTGGTAAACAATTAACATGCCAAGCGGCCGTCACATGGCCACTAGAAACTCCAATTATGAGCAGGGCCACAAACTTGCCAAAACTGAATCCCCAGCTTATCAGTTCTGCTTTTCTGCTTCTGCTTCTGCTTCAGTTTTATTTTTTTCGCTTTATTTTGCTGTGCAGCAACAGAACCTGCCACAAGTTTTAATTGCCAGCCGCAAACTTGTTGCCGCCCGGCGAGCAAAGTTCCAGATATTTGTTTTGGGGTCTGTCAGCCTTTCAATTAAGCCCTGGGAAAGTCTCTCGGCCACAGGTAAACACGTGCGTGGATTACGGATTTAATTTTTGTCGGGTGCAATACTCTTGGTTTTATTCAAACATTCGACTTGACTATGCTGTTGCTGTGCGCAATAAATTAGTTAATTACATTTCGAATAAATTACTACAGGCTAAGGGTTTCAAACGAAGGCACATCTTTTGCAGCTTTTGGAGCGCTTTACTGCTGCTGCTGGCCGGCGTAGGCCAGCTCCTGAGCATCGGACTCATCGCCGATGCTGCGGGCATAGGGGTAGGACGAGGAGGCTCCCGAGCTCCAGCCGGCGCTGGCGGGGGCGGACCAGGCGTTCGAGCTGTAGCCTCCGCCGATGCCGCTGCCTCCGAACTTGTTGCCGAATCCGCCCAGCAGGCGGGAGCCGCCGACCAGGATGGCCAGGAAGAAGGCCAGCTTGGCCACGATCACGGCCTTGAAGGTCAGCAGGGCCAGGAAGCCGAGCACCAGGGGAATGACGGCGAACAGCTTGGCTCCGATGGCCAGGGCCAGGGGTCCCAGCATCTTCTTGATCTTGCCACGGCCTGGAAATCGGTGTTATGTAATTATCACTGTTTATGGGGCAAATTTGCAGGGTAAAACCCACCTTCATCGAGGGCACGGGCCACCTGCTGGGTGGTCTCGGCGGGCAGCTTGAACTCCAGGTTGTGGCTGCTCAGGAACTCGGCGGCACTGGAGATGGCCATATCCACCAGACGACCAGTACGCTCATCGGCGTTCTGGGGCAGCTCGGCGTAGACATCCTGCTCACTCAGGGACTTTCCGGTGCGGGAAACGGGACTGGCAGGGTCTCTGAAATATTATAAACAGGTAAATTATAATTAAGCAAACCAAATCTTAACTTTAAGATTGTTTCCTATTATAACACTTGCTAATTTGTATAATTCCTCTACTTCTCCTTCCGAATGATATTACGTTGAGAAAGGCATTATTTTAGTATTAATTAACAAATCTATTTCAAGACCTAAAGTTTTTCGCACCAGTTGAGATCTTAATATAGATATTCACTGTTACTACTTTTTAACTATTTCCCTAAATGATATATGTATTTTAAAAGCTGTTTAACTGTGTATAGTTTCACTCAAAACCCTGACACATTAAATAATTGTTCGTAACTAATTATGAATTATCTCTCCGATCTTGAGCAATTTTTTTTAAGATTACTTTATGTAACCCGCTTAAAAAGCTTTCCTTTTGATCTTGATCATCATTTAGTTTAAACTAGCTTTCTCAAAAGACTTCGTAAGCTTTATGATGCAACCACTTAAACTAGCACGGATTGAAGATTTCATCAGGCACGTTCTGTTTTCAGTTTCGGTTTCATTTTTGGTTCGGTTTCTGTTTCGAGAATCAGGCACTTTCACTATAAACAAACACACACCTCTGGAAGGTGACTCCGCTGGCCAGCTCGATGTTGTTGCTCCTGGCGGCGCGGTTCAGGGCGGTGATGCCCTTGACGGCCAGGCAGGTGGCCATGTCGTCGCTCTCCAGACAGGCGCCCAGGTATCTGGCTGCCCTGCCCAGGGTATTATCGCCCTCGACGCGGTTGTCTTGGACACTGGGCGCGGCGAAGGCGCAGCTGGCCGCCAAAAGGGTCACACAGGCGATGGCGAACACTTTCATTATAATCGGTTGATGCGCGGTTAATCCTTGCTAGTATAGCTAGTTCTAAGATCGGGCTGCTGCTTCTCTTCGGGAACGCTGAGATGAGTTTGATGTATGCGTCTCCGGACATCTAGCCTTATATATTGGGCTGTGGCCAACAGCTCAGCCGGCGTCGCAGTCGGTGCGCATTACAAAACAATTTAAAAGTAAATTAAATAAAACCCGGTGAGAGACGGCGGA